TGCAATTTTCATAGTTACTTAATACTGAGTGATTGCACGCATTCCAACAGCACATACAGACTAAATCGTATCCACTTCCTCTAGTGAAGAATCCTTTTTCGTACGGACGAACGTGATCAACTACATAATTATATAAAAAAATCATTATGTTTGAAAATAAAGTATTATCTGTGATTTAATGACAGAATATATTAAAGTTACTTACGCCTCCATCGACTAATTTGGCCCACGCAGACATAAAATAACGTATTGTACAGACGACGTCCACAAGCTTGCATTTGTTGGCATTGGTATTCTAAAAAGTAGAATTAAATTTCTCTTATAATTTATCTAATATGCCATATTAGGTAAGAGATATATTAAATGTTACTTCATTTCTTAGTTAAATTCCAATGATATGTCACTTTCAAACACCCAAACTTATGCATAAAGTCATTATTAAAGGTAGTAGACACATAAATTCATCTTCACATGCACCTATAAGTCATAGAATATGATATATTGCAAGTGTTGTTCAACTGGATCACGCAGGACCAACGAGACAGAAGAAAACCACAACTGTCTCTAGGGTCCACACGTGTATAAGAAAATTTTGATTTTGAAGTTTAGATAATAAATTTGTGTAATTTCAAGTGCATAAAGAGAAAAATAGATGCAATAAACCGACAGCATCACGTCATAAAGGGCAGAAGAACCAATGCTCGTGGACGATCTCCAAGCTCATGAATGCACATGTATGGATTAAGGCAACGCAACACAGGCGCTCTGCCAAAGGGGAATATATCTTCCGGAAGAACTTTTTATGCAAAACTGGTCCCTATTTAGTCGTTAGACACCAAAGAAAACCCGAAAAACTGCATGCTATCAACCCATATGTGATAAGCGAACCGGCGGTGTTCGATGGGTTTAATACCACCGATGGGCGCTAATTCTGTCGTTAATTCGAACTCGGGTAATTCGAATTTCCTTCTAATTTTAACTGGACGTTAGTCTTCGTGTTACTCATCTTTAAATCTATGTAAAATTCACTCGTTAATTCGAACTCGACTGTGTTCCCCCCTCTTTATTAGAATTAAGAGCGCGTGTTAGTAGATTAACATTTTTTTTCCACTTTTAAAACCTGATGATCAAATTTAAACTTAATAAATTAATTTCTAAAAAATACAATAAATAAATTACAATTTAAAAACATTTTAAATCAGTTGGCACGTTTACTGTGGCCCTATGGCGCGCTTGCTCGTCGTGATTTTGTTCGTTTATTCCATTGAATTTCACTACTATATCTTTGTTTTGTATCTCTCATTGCTTAAGCATTAATCTGCTTGCCAAGTGTCTTGTTCAGTTCACCCATTTTTCTTCTGCAGTATCCAAAAATGGTCTCCTTTTAATCCAAACTGTTTAGGCCGTCCCTCTGAGTTCGAATTAACGACAGTCTACTGTATTTCGAATATACTCTAAACGCTCAATCAAGTTCTACTACCACTTAATTAATTAATTGTAACAAACGAGAAAGTATCGGTAACATTACGTTACATATAACTGATTATAAGTATTCTTAGAAATTTATACGTTACTTAAATATATTCTTACCGTGTGTTATATATAGAAGCGAAAAAACCGATAAAATAAAGAAAAATTTCCACGAATTCTGTAAAACCATTGTTCTTTTTTCTCCTCTCGAAACAAATCTTCGTCGTTGACAAATTCACATTGCAAATTATGACTTATGTGGACTTCGATCACATCAAATTATACAAATACCATTCGAGAACTTCCCGTGTAATATAACATTCCAGAACATTACCAAATAAGTTAAATTATAACTTTTAAACAATTTAAAAACTTTTCTTGAAAATACGTATACCTGTATATAGAAAATATCGTGTTAGCTATGAGAATATTTATTATTAGGCTGCAATATTGAAATGACAAATCTATAGATTACCATTGCGGCTGTACGTCATTAGAAAGTAATATAAATAAAAAAATCCAGACTAGATGTGGAAAACTTTGCACCCGATATCACGAACTTCCGGACTGGACCGGTTTGTTTGGTTAAATTATGGCAACGTGACAATTGTGCAATCTGTCTACGAGAAATGTCTTCCGGGAGGTCTTTTTAAGGGTAAAATACCCTATTTAGGCGTTACAGACGTGTAGAAAACAAGAAAAACCTTCATAAGGCCAGCCCACAGTAGAGAGGCGGAATCCACCACTAACAAACTTCCAGTGTTTAATGTTTTTATCTAATCGATTTATGCTATTAAATAAGATCAAAATTACACCGAAATAACTGAAATATTTACAATATAATGCACTGTTTTGTATATTTTTATTATGTAAATTAATTTACATTTTTATTTTAATTATGCATGACTTTTATTATTTAATTGAAGAAGAAGGTGTGAGAAGTTTACACACGGCATCTTCATTTAAATTTGAATTAAAGCATTTGTCCAGACAGCATTTATCGTGTAACTTTCTTCCAATTTCTCCATCGAAGATTGCAAAGTTATATAGACGATAGGAACTGTCTGTAATATTACGTTAAAAAGTTAATAAATTAATCGAAAATTTATTTATATCATAGAGGAAAGATAAATGAACTTACAACCCCATTTTTCAAGTTTTTCCTTGCATGCTGTCACTATTCTATTATACAAATCGTATCTGCATGCACATAATAGATAATCTGTAGTTTCTAGAAAAAACAATATGAAGAAAATAATTAAATATAAATAAAATTTTTAAAACATCATCTCTCTCCCGAAAAATTTATTCGACTCATCATTAGTATATATTGAACCACGTTTAGTCGATCTCTTTGTATTCGTACAAAAACCTATGATAAGAATAAACAATGCACATTATACGTTCTAACAGTACACTGAATAACTGGCGTAAGAATGTACAGGGTAAGAAAAGTGAACGAAAAATTACGCTCAAATACTAAATGTAAAGATTGACGTAGGCGTGATGCAGCCTGTATTCACTTATTCAGTTATTTCTTTAATTATATAATAAAAGTTCTACTTTTTAACCCGTAAGTAACAATTTATTAAGCGCTTGTATTTCAATTGTGTTCAGCAGAAGGCCCTGGAATTGTGGGTCTGAGTCCGGAGGATTAAAAAAAAATATACACACACACACACACAGAATTAACGAAGAATTATTTATACTGTAATAACATTTAAAATAATTTAAATAAAAAAATCAAAAAGTGCTGAAATTAAGTAAAAAAAATATTCTTTAAATTAATATACAATATTACCGCTGTGAAATATGGATTCGAAATCGCATCACCATGGAAAAAGAAAAACTTTCAGATGCGTATATAATTTATTACGACGATTCTACATAATTACATGGACATAACTGATCATTGTACAGCATCGTTTCTTATCCTTTCGCCCATATTAATCGATTCCATTAAGGGTCAGGCCAATCTGTAATGGGCATAATCTGTGATAAAGTATAATATGCTGATGGCTAGCGTTAAAAATTCAATTATTAAAATGGAAATATAAATAATCCATTAATGATTATTTTATTTTCAGTATAAAACCTAATTGTCATCTCGATAAAACAACGACCACGACCAACCGGTCTAGGTTTCGGGCCACGTAGCTTTTACCCATTAAACCAAAAGCAAAAAGCTTTATATTCTTAATTAAATATGACCAGTCTGTAATTTACTTAAAATTTCTTACCATGCGCTACAATAAGAATAGTAAAGATCAGCAGAAAGGCGAGTACTCCTAAATTTACCATTTTTGATGTTATTCCTAATATGGTCCTACACCATGAATGTGCTTCCAAGTGAAGGCTGAGGAAGCATATATACACAATGTAATATGACAAGGATCTTTAATTTCTTTAATAATAAAACATTCCTCTAAAATTGTCATAAATAACATAAAAATTATATAAATTTTAATAACTGTACATGAGACAAGACAAAATATTCTTATACGTGACATATATCATTAATTGTAATTGAAATTCAAGAATGACTATGTAAAATTTACTCAATTTATTAAATTTTATTAATTTATGTCTCTATATTAGCATACAATAAGTTATGTGCATTGATATAGGTAAGGAATACGGAAGTATATTTTATTTCAACGATTATAACATTATAATTTTATTTTTTATTTGCAAAGGATCTGTTTATATGAAATTACTTTAAAAGAATTGTATAAAGTTTAAAATTTTATTAATGTAATTTGATGACAACGAAATCTTCATAAATAAAAGGTATATGACTTTTATGTAGAAGATTTAGTTTAAAGTAGAATTTAAATGAAGGAGAAAAACAGAAAGAATGTGAATTAAAAGAAGAAAAACAAGCGAAAGATAAAACAGAGGAAAAATAGTAGGAGCCAGGCATTATTCAAAGATCTTTTTCCTAAGCGCAAATAGTAGAGAAATCCTACTTTTAAGAAGTAAATACTATATTTATTGTGACATCAGCAATTTTTAATCATATTTTTTATTTATTTAATTTAAAGAATATATCTATATATGCTCTCCACATCAAATTAGTAGTGCCTGGACCCTCTACATAATACTTTTCCTTTAACAATACAGTCTTACTAATCGTTTACCCAACACCTATCAGGGAAAAAAAATTGCAATTGAAATACAGGGACGTTTAGTTTTCATCGGAAGTATGTAGATAATTTTCCTGCCTCGAAGTGTTCCATATCTGGTCACGTTTTTCGTCTGTTTAACTCCGTTATCGACAGTAAGGAAAGACAGGCAGACGTTAGTGGCAATTTATAGGTCTAGAACTTTTTCAAATTGCAACCCAATGAGCTGTTCTAAAATACATAAATGGAAACTAGAAGACAAAAGACTAAAACTAAAGACAAATTACACGAATTTTATATCTAAATAATTATTCATTAATTTCAATCACCATTCACTCTTCATAGTTAGACAGTGTTCACTGTGTCTGCCTGTAATATAATTTACTATAAGANCTTAATTAAATATGACCAGTCTGTAATTTACTTAAAATTTCTTACCATGCGCTACAATAAGAATAGTAAAGATCAGCAGAAAGGCGAGTACTCCTAAATTTACCATTTTTGATGTTATTCCTAATATGGTCCTACACCATGAATGTGCTTCCAAGTGAAGGCTGAGGAAGCATATATACACAATGTAATATGACAAGGATCTTTAATTTCTTTAATAATAAAACATTCCTCTAAAATTGTCATAAATAACATAAAAATTATATAAATTTTAATAACTGTACATGAGACAAGACAAAATATTCTTATACGTGACATATATCATTAATTGTAATTGAAATTCAAGAATTACTATGTAAAATTTACTCAATTTATTAAATTTTATTAATTTATGTCTCTATATTAGCATACAATAAGTTATGTGCATTGATATAGGTAAGGAATACGGAAGTATATTTTATTTCAACGATTATAACATTATAATTTTATTTTTTATTTGCAAAGGATCTGTTTATATGAAATTACTTTAAAAGAATTGTATAAAGTTTAAAATTTTATTAAATTAATTTGATGACAACGAAATCTTCATAAATAAAAGGTATATGACTTTTATGTAGAAGATTTAGTTTAAAGTAGAATTTAAATGAAGGAGAAAAACAGAAAGAATGTGAATTAAAAGAAGAAAAAGAAGCGAAAGNGCATATATACACAATATAATATGACATGAAATATTTATGGCCAAGAATCTTTAATTTCTTTAAATAATAAAACATTCCTGTAAAATTGTCATAAATAACATAAAAATTATATAAATTTTAATAACTGTACATGAGAAAGACAAAATATTCTTATACGTGACATATATCATTAATTGTAATTGAAATTCAAGAATTACTATGTAAAATTTACTCAATTTGTTAAATTTTATTAATTTATGTTTCTATATTAGCATACAATAAGTTATGTGCATTGAAGTAGGTAAGAAATACGGAAGTGTATTTTATTTCAACGATTATAACATTATAATTTTATTTTTTATTTGCAAAGGATCTGTTTACATGAAATTACTTTAGAAAAATTGTATAAAGTTTAAAATTTTATTAATGTAATTTGATGACAACGAAATCTTCATAAATAACAGGTACAAATCGACCCCCTCTATAACACTGTTGATAATTCCGTTTTATATAAATTCCATGTTGTACGAGTCACTTAGATTTTACAAATACATGAGCTGTTCACAGCCCAGCACATGTTTTTGTAAAATCTAAGTGGTTCGTACAACATGGAATTCATATAAAACGGAATTATCAACAGTGTTATAGGGGGTCCGCANATGCACTGTGGTTGTGGATTATAGTTTAAATGATAATATTAATTTTGCCGCTGCATAAAAAAATATCTCTTGTATATATTGCATACAAATGGTAAATATTACCAACATTCCATCCGTGGCACTTTTTGGCGCAGCACCGAATATTTTTCTTGTTTGGCAGGTTTGCACACACTGTAATTTAGGTAAATACAGTAGACCCCCGTATAACACAGTAGATACGTTCCGTGTTTTATGAATTCCATGTTGTACGAGTCACTTAAATACATGAGCCAATCACACCTCGGCATATATGCAGTTTAGGGAGTACACTAATCGATTCTAGACTAATTCGACTTAACATTTCCAAAACACGTATAATTTTTTGTGAATAATCCATATAAACTATGCTATAAACAAAAAATTGTAGGATTACTTACCGAGTGTGCACCGTTCGACGAAGCCATTACTTAAGCTTGTTTTCGTCGCGGAGTGGCGCATCGAACGGCGGGCGCGTGTTTCCCTATAAGTTATTTTTCTGCCAAAAATTCGCCGAACTTTGGAGACATCATTAATATAAATTTAATCTTTATGGCCGTTAATTAAATAATAAATGGTTTTAGTAGGTCCGCTGCTTGTTTAAACTCAACGGTCTGTGCAATATCCGCTATTGGTCAAGATTCGACCAATCCTGTCGCGACACGAGTCGGCGCTGACGTTTTACCGTATTATACAAGTTTCTTTTAGCGTGTTTATACAAATACGATCGCCATTTTTTCGCCGTTATATACGAATCCGTATTATATGAAACCGTTTTATAGGGGTCTACTGTATTGTATTAGATTATTTCGTACTTCTAACTCTTCTATTAGAGTATAGTATTTGGTTTATATAACTACATGGTTATCTTACATAAGGGTTATCTAATTTAACACAATTTAAAAATTGTTTAAATTGCATACAGTAGAGAAATAAAGAATTTTGTAATGATTGGATCAGTCGGTATGATAAACCCTCACGTAAGATTCTTTTGTAGTTATATATAAATAGTATAATATAACAAACATTAAAACCGTATGAAGTGTTTGGTTATTTCGGCCAATGTTTCGTTTATCGCGATACTCGGATAGTACGAAATGGCACAAATTCGATGTTCAAGTACACAGGAATTAAAATTATATGTTAAATTTTCAGATATAATATTTTCTAATGTTAACTCTAAGAAACAATATATTGTAAAAATGCGATAAAAATTCCTTTTATGTACAGACCCCCCCGTATAACACTGTTGATAATTCCATTTTATATGAATTCCATGTTGTACGAGTCACTTAGATTTTACAAATACGTGTGCCGGGCTTTAAACGGCTAACGTATTTGTAAAATCTGAGTTACTCGTACAACATGGAATTCATATAAAACGGAATTATCAACAGTGTTATAGAGGGGGTCGACTGTAATAATAAAGTGTTTAAACTTATGCAACAGATTTATAAACTAGATGGGAAAAATGTTCTTGTAAATATCGCATACATAGAAAAATTATTGGGCTACGATTTGAAAAAATGTAGACCTTTAAATTTCCACTGTCATCGCTTTGACTGTACGTCCTTTCTTAATCTCGACAAATCAGTTAATTAGATGAAAATCAAGACCAAATATGGAAAGCTTAGGGCAGGAAATGCAGGATTAACTATATGTGAATTTTCGGTTTGGACCGGAAGTCACGTTACTTCAATTGAAAATTTTCAACGGAATGGAGTTAGTTAGACTACAGATACAATTTTATTGCTAACAGGAAACGTATGACGTACAGAGAAAAGACACTACTAATTTGACGTGGAGAGCATATACACATTCAAATAAAATGAATTATAGATGATTAAAAATAGACGATGCCACAATAAATACAGTAATTGCTTCCTAAAACTACGATTTATCTGATATTTGCTCATAGGAAAAAGATCTTTCAATAAGGCTTACTTGTAATTTATGATGATTTCGTTGTCATCAAATTGCTTTAATACAATTTTAAACGTTATAAAATTCTACTAAAGTAATTTGATGTAAATGGATTCTTTGCAAATAAAAACTAAAATATTACAGTGGAACCTCGGTATACGACCTTAATCCGTTCCTGGTGTTTGGACTTATACCGAATAGGACGTATACCAAACCAACCTTTTCCATAAGAAGTAATGTAAAAATCATTAATCCGTTCTCATGTAAAAAAATGGCTGGCTTTAAACACCTCGCTTTCCTCGCTAGTTTCTGCTTGATTTTTCATGAGAGCAGTATGTATCCTTTTAACTTTCTCGCAAATAATTTCTTCCGATACGCTGTCGCTGGCAAACACTGTTTTTCAGTTATCCAAAGCAAAAGCAATTTCTCGACATGATCTAATGTCTTCGATCTCTGTTTAGAAATTGATTTAACCCCTTTCGCAACGTTAGCAAATTTAATAATGCCTTTATTTATCACGATTGTCGATATCGTCGTTCTCGGAATACGGAATGCAACAGTTAAATCTCGT